CCTGATATGACTCGCGAATTCTACCAGAAGTTTGTATGCAGCTTACGGGAGAGATGCTCCTGTATGTATTACGGAAATAGACGAACACTACGGGAAGTTTATAGAGACTCGCGTTTCCTACATAGATTTTAACTTACGAGCTGTTCCGCGAACATTACGCCTCACATCAGAAATCATCTTTCTCTCGCCCAATTGCGCAAACGAACATTAATTTGATACAGAAGTTTTTCATAAACAAATATTATGTGCAAACATTCATAAAGAAATATTAATGTGTTACGATATCCGCGAATTATTGTGCACGTAAATCACACACATAGGTGATATTAAAAACCATCACCTAAAGTTTCGATGATTTATCCGCACAGCCTCAATATCATCAATCTCTCTTCGATAATTGAGCGCGATGTCAGTTGAGCACGCTGTTATTAAAATCTCATTTTCGAGTTACGAGTGCGCAAACCTTGATCGTGTGAATTTTACGTTATTAGAGAGAGGAAGAGAGAAAGAGCGCGCGAAAACGCGTTTCTTAATGTTCGGCTAATGCGCGACCTTTAACGCTTCACTGCCGACTGGAAAGCTGTAAAAATGCGATTTAACGCGGCAAATTGCTCGCCGTAAGCAGCGCAGCGCGAGAAAGATCTAATCGCGGGAATTGCGACGGTAACTTTTCTGCGCGAACAAGCAGAATAAGTCGCGAAAACTCGCGGGTACCGCGCGCGCGCGCGCGCGCGGACCCGGCGATCTGCCAGGCGATGGCGGAAAATTAGAAACGGTAATCAGAAGTTGCCGAGTTGCCGAGTCCTGCCGCCACGGCCGCTTTAAAAGGACTAGTACACCCGCCCCACGCTTTGACAACTACGAACTTTCTATCGTTAACGTGCAATTCTCTTTCCCTAAGTTTCGACGCTCCCGGATTCTCGCGGAGTTTGCGGAACCGCGCCTCGTGCTGCGCGCGCGCGCGAGGGAACGAGTTGTTCCTACTTTTCAGATTTTCTTCGAGGAAAACTTTGTGGAAACTTTCCGAATTCCCGCTTCCTTCGATCTTACAATGCCATTAATGCAAAAAGAGGGGGGGAGAAGCAGAGACTTTTCGTAGCTCTTCTCCCTTTCCCGTTTCTTCTCTTCGTTCGTTCCCGAAGGGCGTTCATAAATCATTTTCTTTCGTCGCAGCGGAATCCATCTCCGCCCGGCGATTATCCTCCTTGCGAGACGGGAGCAAGGTGGAAACCAGCCAAGGAATTACTTTCTTCCGTGACCTTTGCAACGCGGCGGAATGCACCGAGCCGTCGATAAATTGCCCTAAGTCCTGAGACGAATGAGCATGTCCGACGCGAAACTAAATCGAGTCCATTTAAACGAGAAGCGTATAGAGCCGCTCTCGAAGCGTCCTTTATAAATTTTATGATGAATCCGATTTCCCTTTAACGAGACTTGGATGAATGCCTATTATATTTTATTACCGCCACCTCTCCTTCATTTTTCGTCGCTAAATACGAAGACAATTGAGGTTTTTGTGAACTTTTCGTAAAAGAAATATATATATATATATGTATATGAAATTACAAAAGCTAACAGTCCGCCTGAAAAATAATAGGTGCGCTTAATAATAAATGTGCTAAATTTATTTCATTGTGATATGTATGCAGAGTGTCTGAAAAATTTTGACAGCCGAAGTAATTAATCTGAACAGAAGAGTTATTTATCATTCCGCAAACTTACTGCAATATTAATTAATTAATTAATGTGAGCGCAAATGAGCGCGTGAGAAGTGAGCGCTCCGGACTTTGTGGGTATGTATGATTTTCAGTTGTGACAATCAGCTGATCGCAAAAAGCTGTGTGTCACCGTCTGCTCCGTTTCTCTAGTTGCCAGGAAACTGCGCGAGATACAATAGTTTTCTTTAACTAAGTGAAAATTATACACGCGCACAGAATCCGCGCGCTATCGTTTCTTACACGCTCATTAATTAATTAAATAATTCAAGTAAATATATTGCGCAAAATTCGCAAATTGGTAAATGACTTTTCTGACAGATCGATCCAATCTATTCTCATACTTGGACCGTGTCAAAATTGTTCAGACACTCTGTATGTGTAACAAAACAAAGAATCTGATAATGAAATCGTTATCGCGTGCGCGCGAAGATTAGCGCGACGTATCACAGCGAGAGACACCGGAGACTCGCATTATTCAATTTGACGGACGTCTGTGTGTATTTAGGTAAGGATCTCTCGCTCTCTCTCTCCGCGCTGTACTACGGGAGATACAACGTATGGCGGGACGAAATGAATCGACGCTACAAATGTGACATTCAAGTGGCGTAGGTTACTTTTGCACGAGATTGTAACGGTATTATTTCGGGATCGAGAGTGTCTCACGTCGAATCGGAAAAAGATAAACGTGGCGGCGCTGCTTAATTATTATTTTCCGAGAGGTTGCGGTTAATAACGATTCCGTGTCAGCGTGGTTCCGAACAGAATACGTAATTACAATCGATCGTTATTCTCGTCGCGTTTGCGTCGCAGGCAAGCGGTAGGTAGATGGCAAATTCAGATGTCGCGGAAGGCGATAAATCGCACGGCGATTCGCGCGCCGACACAAATTTGACAACGCAAATCCGCGAAATGGAACGCCGAGTCGACGGGATCTGATCTACATTATACAAAAAAGACAAAATTACTCAATTTCTTTATTAATTAGCTAGTTTGCAGCGAGAGAGTTGTTGGTTTTTTTTTGTAGGTTTATTTACGGAGAATGATAATAGACTTCGCACGGAATATAACTTGCGCGATATATCGCACTCGAGAAGAATTTTGACGGCATTTTATTTTCTGATATCGATGTCCGCGATCTAATAATATCCACGTGCTGTCGTCCGTAATTTGTCGATCGCGTAATTATCCTGAATTCGTAGGAGATGCGCACGTCTCACTCTCGCGAGGAGAAATTCACGGTGCGAGCGTGCGAGCGCGCGACAACTATGTCCTCGATTGCCGCCTCGACGGAAAATCGAGAAGGGAAGAGAAGGTGGAAAGGGAGAAAGAGAGAGAGAGAGAGAGAGAGAGAAATAGGGAGGTGGGGTATTCGCGCGTACACGACGAACGGAAGTCGGCCGCTAAGGTAGCAACGGACTCTATTCCGGGCTTTCCGATTCCTGAAAGCCCGAGGGTGCCGCAAGCTCCGACTCTATTGATTTGCCGTGTTAAAGGGAAACGCTCGATACGCGCGCGCGTTACCTCCCGTCGATTTATATACATCGGAAAATCCCTCAATGTTTTCCCCGATAATTTTTCTCTGGTGAAATATTTCTCATCTATTTTGTCGGACAAAAACACGTTATTTAAAGCCGGCCGAATTGTCAATTGTCAATCGAAACATTTCACGAAGAAATTTTCGAGAGAACAAGCGTTTTTCCGTACGTTTCGTGATCGCGCGATCACTTTTGCACAAACTCAATATTGCAAATTACCGTAACTCGAGTACTCCATTTTAAAGCGCCCGGAGAGAAGAGAGAAATATTTTGTCCTTCGAGCAAATTTACAAAACGGTGCAAATTTTAGACCGCGCATGTGACTGTTAACCTCCTTCGGTTATATTTTATGAAAATATCAGCGCGATTGTTATCTTTGCGCCGGGTGTGTACAATAACATCATCGGCGCGATGTCACTGGGTTTCGTTAAAGATATCTGTACAATCGATAATCGATGTCCCATTTTCCGTTCATCCGCTTATCTGCAAGCTCGAGTAACACAATAACCGTTTGATAAAACCTTCAAGACGACGACATTACACATCGATAGAATACCTCACTCTCGCAAATATAATATACTTTATCTCAATAAAAACGTCGCGAATTTATTGTCAGCAAACCAACGCGAGTTAAAAAAATTTCACAAAAAAAAAAAAAAAATTACTCGCACAACAAAATGTATCACACGTACAATGGTCGTATCTTCGCCATTCGTGTCGTAACGAATACTTCTCGCCGCAACAAACCCGGAGCCCCGATATAACGAGAGAGTAACACGTGATCGATGTCTCGGAATACGTCGTCAACGTGTACACGACGAAGCGCGCAACGTGTTGCAAAAGCGGAGGAGCGATTATACCGGCAGCGATTTCCCCTTTCGGAACAGGGCACGTCGACCCGATTCCAATTACGGCTTACCACGTGACAACGAGGAGCGCACACGCTATCGTCACGCGCGCGACGAAGAAGATGTTTGCCTCGGCGCGAGATTATCGCGCTTTTAATTCGTGACTCGGTCGCTGTGAATCGTTCGACCCGCTATCCGTTCATCATGTGCGTGTAAATAAGTGTTCTTGCGAAACATCGTCTACTCGCAATCATTAAAACGCAAGTAGAAATTCAGATTAATGCTAATTCAACGGCTTCGCGCGATAAACACATAATCGGATATGGCGCGCTCGCGAAGCGTAGGCGTGACAGAGATGTGAGCGAAACTAGATTTTGTGTTAAAAAGATCGACAGAAACCGCGCGAGTGAGTTGCAAAAAATTGTGACTCTTCAGCGAAGAAGAAACGAAGAACTTTGAAATGTTTCAAAAATCTCTATATAGTTAAATATTCCTAGTAAATATTATTATTGTTATACTTTGCGATATGTGTCTCCGTGCCGTTAAAATCCTTGAAATAAAATTACCTTGCAAATTTGGATATTTATAAAACGCCGATGCGGTATCATTGATTACATAAAAAAAAAAAAGAAAAAAAAAGAAAAAAAATTACTGTTTATCGAGTGTCTAATAATATCACGTAAAGTGGAAAATAGAGTTGTATATGTGCGAGAGTTAAATCACAACATTAACTCGATTTTCTTACGAGCGTGTGTGACATAAATATATTATATATGCGTGCGGCATTATGCAGAATATAAAGGCGCGTCCGATATATATCTCTCTTGTTTACGATATATTCGCTGATCATAAACTATGCAGAACGGTTTAATAATAGAACGAAATTGGATTTCACTCACCACGACGAGCGCGTGCGTCAGAGCAGTCGATGACCTCGACCTCCTCGGTGTCATGCCGACGACCTCGCCCCTCATGATGCTCTCGACGACTGTGTAAGAGAGTAAAAGCGAAACACACTCAGTACACTTACGGAAACAGCGTGTACACTTCGTGCGTGATTGTTTGCGTGATTTAATCGGTAAACAGTGTGCGCGCGAAGTTATCGTAACAAATTTATCTCAGTACAAAGTTACACAGAGATTCGAAAATTTGAAAGAATATTGCTCTATTCGGTCAATTAAATTTCGAAAGAATGGACGTTTTTAAAATCCATCAACGAAAGGTCAAACCCCGACTCTTTCGCAGCACTCTGCCAATGCTGACTTTTACAATCGACATCCTTAAAAGTCGAGTTTTATTATAAACTGTTCAATAAAATTTTAATTACACGCTATCAGGCAAATGTGTATTTTACTTTACGTTATATAACAACTTTTTCTTTTTTTCTCTTACCTCCGTCGCCAATTAGCCTCATTTGTACTAAAGTGGGATCCTCGTTGTGGTCTTCGAGGACTGTGTCGTCGGTGACGGTCAAATCCTGAAAATAACGTGCAGTAATGATCGCATTGAGACGCGATAAAGATCGGTACAGATAGGAGTCTTATTAAAATTTTTAAACATACATACATACACACACACACACACACACACACACACACACGAAAGGACATATAAAAACGCTTTTATTATCAACCATTCAAGGAAAAAATCAAGAAAGTGCATCGGATAAAAATGTTGATCATTTATCTATCAACGCTTTTTTTCTGTCTCTTTTCCACATTTATTTTTGCAATTAACTCGACAGACCGTTCTAAATATTCGTTATACAATAGCGACGAGATACGAGTCGAGACACTCAATTATTTCCTCTTGTTTTGTCGAGATTCTCGAGTCATGTGTGACGCGATTTTATTCAAGATTTAATGAGAACGTTAATTGGTTTCGAGATTAACGCTCTGAGAAATTTTCTTCGGAGAGAAGTTTAGCGATTCACTCTCGACCGAACCTTTTTCGGTCACGAAGCGCGTATATTTATTTCGCCAATTCGCGGGTCAGAGATCGATCGATCAATGGTCTGGGTTCTCGTTAAGACCCGTCACGATCGACGCCTCTCTCTCTCTCTCTCTTTGTCAATGCGCTTAACTGATCAGCGGCGAGACAGAATCGTCGTCTGTTGCGAGATGCGCGCGCGAAACGACGCGCAATTGCGATGCCAACTATTTGCGTGCGTGTCGATGCAATTTCCGATGCAATCAATTTTTACACTGTCGCACGCACCGTCGTTGACAGCATTTTGACTGTCATCAAAAGTTGGAGAATAATAATTCCGAGAATTTGCGCGAAAATTTCGTAATGTATGCGCAATACAAAACACATTGGATCGATAAATTATACAACTGTGACAAAATACGATAATATTGTAACTAATAAATTATGTAAAAAAATGCGCATCCGCGAGAAAACTGTCCGCTGCAAATAATTTTTTTTAATTTTTACGTTAAATCGCATGGAAAAACCAACGAATGTGAAAACATTCGCTTAGCATATGTAGAAATCAAATAAAGCTTGCAATTTTGCATTCGTTATATTAATTCCGCCAGTATTTTGCATAATGAATGACAATAATATACGCTTCTCATAAATTTTGATGTTCTTCGAGCGCGCGTCATTTCTTCGTGATATTTAAAGTTTTTGTCCGCAAAAGACGGAGGATTTCACGACGAAGAAATATTCGAATAAACTTCAACAGGCAAGCGATTCGATTCCGCCGATACTCTCGAGAAATATTCGACGCAGACGTGTACGTATACATATTGTACATATATATATATATATATATATGTATATAAAAGAAAGAAACACGAAAAGATAAGAGCGCGCGCGAGTGACAAAAGCTTCCTCAGACAACCCAGCCGATATTTTATGTTCTTTCGCCTTTCGATCCTTTTGCACCTTTCCCGGAACGTTTTCTCTCGTCGCGGACTATTTCGGGGATTTAGTTTTCCAATAGGAATGCCGCGCCACCGCCAGGATAAATTATCGGAAGCTTCTCCTCTCGCCGAGAGAGGCAAGACGAGGAGGATTACTTTCGCGAGGAGTCTGTCGTTCCTTGCTGATGTTTAACGGCAAAAAAAAGACGAGGGAAATATCGAACGAGAAAAAAGAAATTGGTCTTGTTTGTCGGAGTCGCTTCGAGAACGGAGTTTTCTCGTCTTCTTTTATAGCACGTTACATATATAACAAATCAATTGCATTTATAGGAGTACATATAAAAGAAAGATATTGAATAAACTTCAAATTTCTCTTCTTTCAGTTGCGCGTTTCCTAGCGTTTCCGAGCATGTTGATGAAAAATGTTTTATTAACGGAGATAAACAAATTTGATTGAAATATCGTTTTTCGATCTCGACATTTTTCCGCGAACTAGTATTTTTTTTTTTTTTTTTCTAGCAAACATATTACACGTCACGTTTGCTTGTGTACATGTATATTAATAACACGTAATGGATTTTGATATTGTCGAATTTTAGAGTTCGGATGTTACAGATCGCGCAGCGCAAGCAAAAAAGCTCGCAAAACCTACCGCAGGACATTTTCCATTTGCTGATAAGAAGCGAGTCGTATGTATAATATTTATTTATTATCTGGTCCCCTCACCTTGGTGGACTCGTTGTAACCGACGATCACGGCTGTGTACCATTGTGTGGTGCCTTCCGCCCGATAAACTTCGACCCTGAAACCGACCAGAACGCTGGGTGTAGTCAGCAAAATCCTCTGGCCGTCCTGCATCTCGGCCCATCTCCTAACGGCGTTTCCCCAGGGCATGGCGCCCTTAGTCAGCTCCCAGTCCTGCTGCAAAAAGTAAAACAAAAACAAAGACCAGAATTGAAGCTTCGTTCGTGAAAAATTTGATTAAGAAAAGCGAAATGTTCTTCGTTCAAATCGCCGAGAGAGCTGTTCGCGATTTCGAAGGAAAAAGCGAGAAAGAGAGAAAAGTCCGCGTCGTCGGTGTGAAATGAGAGAGAGATATGTAACAAAAAAAGACAAATATAAGAAAAACTCTGCGCAAAGGGAGATTTATTCTCCGTGTAAATGCATCATAACTATATATATATATGCGATTTCAATCGGAGTATTTTGTTACTTTACTAGAAATTTTTGAAATAAAAAAATCATGATGCGATATTCGCGCAAAAATATATTCGTTCTGCTGGCGACGAGTTTGCGATTCTATAAATTACTTTAAAGTGTATATGTTAACGTTAGTAATACTGTCAAGGATCTTAGGATGTAAATATCAATAATAGCAGCCGAAAGCAGTCGCTACACGAGGTCGCGTAAATTTTGTCGGACATTACGTAACCGGCGTTAGTGCTGAATGCAGTTGCTTGGTGCATGATCCTATTTATTTGTTGATTCTGTTTTCGTCTCGTGTGTGTGTGTGTGTGTTAAATACGCTCAGCCGACTGCGTCGGCAAGAATAACGAGGCCAACGATCTCTTTGCGAGAGAAATAATAATAACGTGAAATATCAAAATCCGATTTCTACGTCGTATCGTGACTGATAACCGATATCATGCACGAGAGAGAGTATTTCGCTTCGCGGACGTACAACACACAACGGCGTCGAGAAAATTAGATTAGGCGCGCGACAGAAATGAGACGTTTCGAATATTTGATATTCCTCTCGGAGTACACCGGATCTATTATCGTGCACGTCGATAATTCCGAGCAAACGAGATTAATTAGAGTGTCGGTGAAAATGTGGCATTGACGAGCGTTAATTATTATGTGTCACCGTCCAGCTTCTTGTGACTGCAAGTCGTCGAGAGAGAGAAAGAGAGAGAGAGAGAGAGAGAGAGAGAGAAGAACCGTCATCAATCAAACTCCTCAGTTAATTTGTTCTTCGTCGCTTACGTCTCTATTGACAAATTACATTTGACGAGTACCTGGTAGTGCTAGTACACATGACACACAAGAATCACTTCAGATCTCTACTTGAAGCTATTGGACGTTTTGCGCGATGATTGCACGCGTACTTATAAATATCGACATCGACGGCGATGATATAATAGCAATTCTCTTTCTTTCTTTCTCTCTCTCTCTCTCTTTCTCTTGGCACGAAATATGCGAAATTCGGAAAGAAGAATAACGTGATTGAATTTTTCCGCGAGATGTGACGAGTACGCGCTCTCGTTCGCGTTTCGTTACGTCACCGTCGCGTCATTACGTCAGAACGCGCGTTATGCAATCATCGCGCGCAGCGTGACGGCGCGAGGCGCGTTAATGGTGGTAATACAACGGCAATTAGAACGTTATTACCGAAGCGTCGAGAGCACTTAAAACGTGCGCACGGTGTGTGTCGTACCTCCGCGAGACAATCCCCCCGTACATACGGCGCTCCAGAGACGGGTTTACCTTTTTTTTTTCTCTCTTCCGCAAAAAAATCCATTACACGTACGTACTTTTTTAATTTCAAATAAAACTTAATATCTTTTTAATTTATATTGATATTTAATTACAATAGTACACACTCGCAGAAATCACGCTAAAAGCGAGATATGTCATTTAGATAAGAACGCTCTCGTGTGGATTCGGATAAGTGTGTGCACAGCACATGTATATTCTCTCTCTTTAAATTATCTAAATTATATCTTCTTTTACGGAGATTCTAGATCTGTCTGTATATGTGTGTGTGTGTACTTTTGTACTAACACGAGCGTGTAATTTTATCTCTCGCGAATCTCTTGTTTATCAGAAACAAAAGTGCGAATAACTATCCGAGCGTCAGTCTCGTGAATTGTTGAAGTCATTCCGCGCATTCAATGTTGAAGAAGCACAAGCATAATTGATGAAAGATTTTTCGCCGTCGCGAATGCTAAACACAGTTTTCGTTCATCGATCTGTTTATCAGCGAAACGCCGCTATATCGAATAGAAGAGTAGCGTTCGTCTAGACTCGTGCGCATGCAATTATGAAAGTGGAAATAAACGATGGAAATCGATCTCACGATCGATGAGAATTATCGGTCGGTCGCCGCGAATCATTTATTCAATTACGGTAACTCGATTGCGAGAAAACGTCATTCGGTATTATAGACCGATCGTTTCCCGGAATATATCCTCTTTCGAAGAAACCGTTCTTGGTCTGCCACATAGCGGACACTTCATTTTTTCATCGCGAAAAATTTAATTCTCGTCCAAGAAGAACACTCTCTCGACGCATTTCCTTTCTTCTTTGTGACGAGTGTTCTCTCTTGAATGCACATTTCTTTGCAAAGAAAACTCTCGCCATTATATATATATATATATATATATATATATATATATATATGTAAATATAGTCACGTGACCAAGGTCAGTGATTTTAACATGACTACGTTGGTATTCGACATTACTTATTGGCCAGGCAAAAAGTATAAATATATATATATATACTTAGGTGAGTAATGTGCGCTTAGCGCGCGCCCGTGTTGTCCTAGTTTTTAAAAATTCTCTTTAATCATGACAACTGTGTGTCCACACGGGGTCATGTATTTCTCTGGGACGACGAAAGTCATTATCGGTGAGAAAATCACGATCCACGCCGGCTGCTATCGTATTCTATCACCGTGCCGCGGGTCCTCGTTAGCAGTTACTACGCGGCAGCTAATTAATTAAGGAGTTCCTTAATTAAGAACGCGCCCGCCCATTAATCGCGATGCGTTCGCTTCGTACAATCACTGAAGCGCCGGCATAGATAAAACAGATGGCAGATGACTGTCGTAAAGTTCAAATTGAAGACCGTGGAGGCAGATGCGCACCGAGTTCGTGTGCTCGCGCAATAAAATTACACTTCGCGTGCAGTCGAGGCTTTCTCGAGCGCGCGCGCGCCGCCCGTGTAACCGTTCGATAAAATTGACTCAATAATGACCTCGCTAACTACGATATTTCCTCCCCTCCGATATCGCAAATATATATACATATATATTATATACACATAAACGTTCGCTTTGTCGTCGCGCGACACTTAATCGCGTTGCATTAAAACCCCCGCCCTCGATGGTCGATGCACGCACAGCGGGATTGGCAGTCACCGCAGCATCATTTATAAACGGAGGTCTTTTGCAACTAGAATATTACATAAATATATATACAAGCTCGCGCGGTAGAAAGTTGAGCTTCGAGGCATCAAAGACCCTTGGCACGAGTACGTACAGAGAACGTCGTCTCAGAATCCCCGCCGCTTTATTTTAATAACGGACTTCTCCTCGGCAAATTTCAGAGACGATATTTCGAAAATTCCGAAGGAAGCACGTGATTTATTACAATGTTTTCAATGTTAAATATTTCGGTAATCGGAGCTCGACTCCTCACTTCTCCTCCCGCCCCCCCCTCCCTGAAATCCCCGAGAGAAGAATAAGACGTTCTCTGTGATGATTTTCAATAAGAATGTTCAATATTTAATCATCGCATCGGGAATCTTATTGGAACTCGATATATCGAGAGAATTCGGAATTTAATTAGAAAACCAGTATTTAAAATAAAATGTAATTTTTATGCGTCTTTCGTACTAAGGATCTTTAATCAAAAACCATCGTCTCGCCGAGTTCGAGAAACGGATACTGACTAAAGTCGCTCATGCGTTTAGATGTGTGTAAGATTGATCTCCGAGATGTGTAAAAGGAACAACGCGATCGTTCCTCTTCATCATGAACAAGCGCCTTTCACGAGAGGTGAAACGCAGACAGGATCCCGGGCGGGATTCTTATACTTCTCCCGAGGATCGCGCGAAGGGAGGCCGAGGGGTATAATGCCGCGCCGTCGCGCTTGGCTAAGGACCGTTAGGCAGAACGGGAATATGTTGGCGCCTCCTCTTGGCCGCGCTCCAACGTTCCCCGATCATGATCATGCACACGCGCGCGCTACCGACGCGAGTCGCCAAACCGGCAGGAGGCAGCGGTCGTCAACAGCAACGCGCGCATGGGCGTCGGTAAAAATCCTTTTCCCGAGATCGGATCTAGAAATTGTAGTTCCGAGAGAATCTACGAAGAATTTGTATTTCTCCGCCGCGATACGTAAAACATAACGAGCTTAACACCGTACCGTAAAAGATGAAACGTTTTTCGATTTCTCGATTTTCTTTCGTTGACGCCTTAAGCAGTTGTGATCCTATCCGTTTTTATCAGTCACAATCTTACCGATTTTTTTCGAATCATGATAAAAGAGAGATGCGCGTTTTATGTTTGTCATTAATCAATATTACGTGTGCAATTTGCTGTCGTAGTATATTCAAGTTATGTGATGAAACGCACAGGAAACGAAATCGCGACGCCTATGGTCGCGAACCGGCGACGCAAACGAGAGCAATGCGAGAACGACGACGTCTCTCCGCAATAGTCGCGCGCAAAGTGCACGCGTGCGTGCACGTGAGCGTGTTCGCGCGCGCGCTAGGTATGCGGCGCAATGCAGCGAGGAGAAAGAACCCGGTGCATTTATAGTTCAGGGTCAGCACACTTTTCGCGAGAGAGAGGCTCTCTTGCGCGCACACAACTTCGTCTCCGGACGAATTCGACTCTCCCTCCCCTCTCGCGCCTTTCGTCGTTTCGTCGACGCCCGTTTTTCTTCTCGTTTTTCTCGTGCACTTAACCGTCGACTTTCTCCTTTTCCCGTAAGAACGCGCGAGAGCGCGCACCGAACCGCAGCTGCAAGTTAAAGATCTATGGCCGCTCGCGAAAGAGAGACTCTTCTTGTTAACGCAAATGATCAATTTATCGTTTTAAAGAGAAACACGAAGAAATATCGACTTCTCGCGGTCACGCTTTGCGCGCGCGTTTGTTCGAAAAACAAATTTTCAATTGCAACACACACATTTTACATTTTTTTATTTTCTTCTCTGTTCAATTAATTTCCTTCGTTAAATTTTCATCTTTTTTTTCTCACTCAAAAAACTTGAGACTTCCGACGCACTTCCGAATCGAGAAGGCAATTTGTTTCGTTTAAAAATAGACTGAGTAACGCACAGCAAGCAAAAAGCGGATTCGAAAGGTAAGACACACACACCTGAGCCTGACCGCCGTGACTGAAAGTTTTCGCTACACGTAAACGACTTATACCTCCGTCCTGCCGCGTCGCAGAGGGAAAAGTTTTAACGGTAAAAGTTTTCCCGGTAGTTTAATTACTTGGAAACAATTCCAACTCGCCTAAAACTCTCTTCCTGTCCTACGTAACACAAGTGCGGCAACTTCCGAAGTGGCCGCACGCACACACACACGCGCCGTTCCCTTTTTTTTTTTTCTCACGAGAGTCGCTTGATGGATTTATTATCTTGATCGAGTGTGTTCTGCGTTTCTTTATCCGGAAACCCACGTCTCTGACGTGGAGTTAGAAGTGTTCGCGCGACCATTCATTATAAACTGTCTTAAAACGATACGACTCGGTAGAAAGTCGATTAACGCGGCGCGCTTGCTTTGAAGGTCAAAAGGTAATAAGCGGAGTTTTTAATTACTCTTATCCCAACGGTTTTGCAAACGTTTAATACAACAAAGTACAACACAGAACGCGATATCCAATTACGATAAAATACGAACGATAAAATCCAAACTTTTTCCGTTGTTATTTTAACGATAATAAATTTGAACGTTATAGGCACAGACAGTGAATTATTACACAAAATCAAAGGAAAAGTTTGCACAATCCGCTTTATGAAATTTTTCCCGCATAAATTTTATACGCGCGCGCATATAATTGTTTCGACGTAAAAAAAAAAAAAAAAAAACTACCCGTAACTCTCTCCCCTAACATCTGTCCCCCTAAAAATTTCGGTCGATTTTCTTACTTAAGTGTAAAAAGATATATGTTTTTCGGGAGTGAAAAGTTGTGCTGCGCTTTCGCAAGAATAATTTCTGCACACACGCGAAAGTGAAACGGGAACTCGAGTCAAAGTTCGGCTGCTCATCTTCCAGCCGGCAAGTTCGGTCGACTCTTCCGCGCTGCTCTTACGGAGAAGTTGGACAACGAGTCCCGTGAAAGATTACTTACAGCAGCAGTAGCGAGCCAGTAGAGAAAGAGAGTGAGTGAGTGAGTGAGTGAAAGAGAGAGAGAGAGAGAGAGAGAGAGAGAGAGAGAGAGAGAGAGAGAGAAAGGAAGAGATGCTTGCGTCCGTTGCCCCGGAGGGGTGTCGGATGCGCCAATGGCTCCGGAACTTGTTCTCTAACTAAGTTCCCCAGAACCCTCTAACGAAGTAAGTTTCCAGTCGTAAAGCGGAAGTGGCCGCCGCGCGGCGCTCGCCGACCGAATCTCGCTTCGCGTGGGCTCTTAATCGTTTTGAGATCCTCTATCGCATCTCGCGCATGAAATACGCGCGGGATGCCGCCGCGCGACGACGAAGAAATTATAAAGTAAACGAGATAACGTATCGCGTCAATGTACCTCGAACAGTGGAAATTGTCCTCGCGAATGTGCGACATTTTATAGATTCACGTCACCGCTTTCGAAGAGAATTAACACAACAGTTGAAAATTTTTAAATTGTTTATGCGTATGTGTATACGTTTCTGTTTGCTAAATAAAAATGCTGTTTTCGTCACGCTCTTTATTAAAAACTAAGATTTAAATACCTCAAGAATATACCGAGAAAAACGATATTAAAACGAATGTAACCAAATTTGTGATACTTACGGTGAACGGTTTGAGCTTCGAATAGTCGACGAAGTCCAGTTTGCGATCTTGCATAAATTCGATCGGCATGGCGTCTTCGTGCAACTCGGCTCGCGCCACGAGAGGATAGAAGGTCTGAAAATAAACGCGTGATTGTTTTTACTGCGCATATTGCAGTTCTCTCTCGTATATAGATGTTAAAAATAAAAAATAAACTTTTCAACATTATCATCGGCAACGACGTTTCTAAACGATATTTCTAACGTCGCGGTCAAAGGTTTTGATTTTTTCAGACATTTATCCAACGCAAAAAAAAAAAAACAAAAATCGCACAAGAGTTCGCGATATGATATAAATGTAATTACTTTTGCGCCGTTGAGTTTTTCGCAAAATAATTAAGCTCGCTCAATTGAAGCATTAAAATTTTAACGAGCAAAAAAAGCATCGAGCCAATGAAATGCAGCGGTCTGTTTTATATCGAATTGTGTCGATCGTAAAATTTATTCAACGAGAAAGAGCGAGAGAGAATGGAGAGAATCGGGTATTTCATTAATTAACCACAGACTGATTAAAATTCAAGCGGAATCACGAGCATTCCTCAATTATCATCGATAAAATATGAAAGATTTGCATTAAAAAATGACGACTCGTACATGAACCATTTCCGTGTGTATAATCCGAAGGATATATCACGCGTGACAGATATTATTGCCTCGTCGCTATATGTGCGTTAACTTGTGTAGCTTGTAGGAGAGAAAGAGAGAGAGAGAGAGAGAGAGAGAGAGAGAGAGAGAGAGAGAGAGAGAGAGAGAGAAAAGCGCTTCGTCGATTACGTGTGTATCGGCGTATATGTCGATTATAAAAGAAACACGAAGTTCTAAAATCGGCAGGAATCCGTAAATACACATCCGTAAATAGGCGCGGTTTATTTATATATTACTTACAAGAGCCGGCCAGGCAACGGTGTCGGCGACCGCTGTGGCGCCTCTAAGCGGTTTCCCGTTAATGCGGTGCTGATGATGGTTATTGTTCGCGTGATTGTGATGATCGATGGGGATGAGACTGGCGTGCCTGGGGTCAGGTCGTTCGGCCCAGTATAGACCTCGTTCGATGAGAAAAAAGGAGAACACGGCATCCCTGTGCGGCGACAGCCACTCCCTCCTCTGCCACTCCACGTCGTCGTATTCTACGAGGATCTGCAAGCACGTACGGTCAAACGCGTGAATTATAAATATATGTGCGCGCAACTTGTCGATAAACAAAAAAGAAAACAATTAATTGTCTACATTGGAAGAAAATTTTTCAAACACGAGAGGAATCCACGTGTGTACACGTTTTTTTTCTTTACTAGCACAACACAGATGCGCGCTACGCGCACGCTGTTACTGTTTTTGTTTTAACGTGTTGTGCCAGTAAATTCAACCGTAATGACAGCTAGTATATACGTCTTACAAACTACATAATGAGACGTATAAATAAAAAAAAGCATAAAACTTACCCTTCAAGTTTTATGAGCAAATCCTCAGTTTGTTCGAAATTTTTATTTATTGAACTTTGAGGATTTGCTCCTAAAACTTGAAGAATAAGGTTATGCTTTTTTTTTATTCATACGACCCAATACACAGAATGTACATACGAGAGATGTCAAAAATAACGCATAAAAATCAAACCTGAAAAATAAAAAAAAAGAAAAGAGTAGAAAAACAACACATGACTAATCTCACGTGACTGTATTTTAGTCATGCGTCTTTAAAAACATGATTAAAGTAAGGTCACGTGACAGAAAAGAGTTAAAAAAATATATATCACACAAACACACATATAATCACGTGACAATCAGTGACCTCAGCGTAGTCACGTAACCAAGGTCAGTGACCTTAGCGTAGTCACGTAACCAAGGTCAGTGACCTTAGCGTAGTCACGTGACCAAGGTCAGTGACCTTACCGTAGTATATATATAATACGCGTATAATACAATATATATATAATATTATATATATATATATATACTACTATTACTTTAGTCACGTTTGTAAAGACACGTGACTTTAGTCACGTGGTGTTTTTCCACTCTTCTCTGTCACTTGACTTTAAAAATCGCAAGAATACTTTTGCTTTTTAAATGTTTTGTTCTGAAGCAATTGAGACTAAAACGAAAGTGATCGGTTCAGTCGTTCCTGAGATATTGCTCCATGAAAATCTCCTCACTTCTCAATTGCATGAATTTCGCGTATAAGAGACACGAGTGTCTCGCGCCATTCAAACGCGACTTCGTTGCGCGCGAACTTGGCGCGAGGCACTACCGTGCGTCTTGATACGTACGACATAAATCGAGGAACACATCCTAAAAACGCGTTGTAATTAGCGTTGAGATAAAAGTGGCAACAATCAATATCGAGAGAATCGATTGTAATTATTTACACACGCTTTTTCTGGTAGAAAAGAACGTTCTTCTCGACAACATTCCTCCACGCTGTGTTGTGTTGCTTTTTAAGTCATTAACATAACACTACAGAGAGAGTATCAAGCAGTGTTAATTACAGCCTTTCAAAATAATAGGCGCGATATACGAGATGGAATCTACACGTATACGTAGGTTCTATTTATTCGACGGTATCTCACACGAGGGATTGAGGATTAAATCGGTCTCGACAATGAGCGGTTATCATGCGAACGATGTGCGGAGGCGGGATCTTTGCCGAGGCCTCTTGACGTAACACAAACACCATCCACTTAATTACCGACGTTTGTTATCGCGATATTCATGCGGGTTAATGCGTTATCGAACCTCTTTTTGTTCGATTCTCCAGAAATTACGCGAGCGAACGCACGCTGCAATTTAACAGAATTTCTCTCTTGAAAGTGTGCCGGCGTGTATATATTATACATGTTTATATAATAGAGCGAGAGAAAGATATGTATATTGTGTACATATGTGTTAATACTTCTATGTACATGTTGGGAATGGCGCAATTAATATGTATTATTCATAACCTCTGGCACGGAGCAGAGAGCGCAGACTGGCAGGATAACGAAGGGTCAGTGGATAGGATGTAGCAGGATCCGCACGCTCGGTTTACTCTCGGGCTTTGTCAATGCGGCCGGATTTAATGTGGAGATTGTCCTGAATCGAATAACGGATATAATCTCTCACGGAAGTTCGCTCTACGTATGCGCGACACATATCCACTTTAGCCGAAATTTAAATAAAGTTTTTTCTATTCGCGCGATTTTTCACGATTTTTGACAATGTCGAATGCAGCGAGATATAATCGAACGCGCGTTTGTAAAATTGATGGTTTTTTTTTGTTTTATACTTTTTATTTAATTTTGGCGCAAGAATAATTATTAACGAGAATAATTACAGCACATATCGTATAGTCGTAACGCGAAGTTGGCATCTCGCGTTAAGTATCTCGAGACTCTTTGGCGATTACCCTTTTGTCTGTTCGGTGGCACCACGCGGAGTCATTAAAGTCGTAAGAAGAAACGCGTGACTCGATCGCGGTCACGGCGCGTCATGCCAATTAATTGACAAATCAGCATTTACGAGAGCGGATCAAGAAAATTGTCGCGCCGTGACTGCGAATATGCGATTTCGGCGTCCGGCCAATATCGGCACGTGATTTGCGACGCGTTGTAATTACACACCGCGTGTGTGTGTATATAATAAAGCACGCGAGATATAACATTTCGACGCCATTGTTTTACGCAACAAAGTTGCTCAACTCGAATCGTAAAACGCGAGTGAACTTGTCTCATTAAAATAAAAATATACAAAAAAACACGAATATAAATTTTATACGACATTCCGCAACGAACACGTCAAACAAATATATTCTGAAAATATTTTACAACGTAAAATAACAAGCGAATTATTCTCTAAATCTTTCAGGAAAAAAATATAAACGACACAGTTCGCTCATTATCCTAACATAGGTTTTTTAACATATCAGTTTGTGTTTTGCTTGACTCTATCAAACGGAACAAGATCAATAAATTTGTGCAGTCATTGAAAATTAATTGATATTGTCTAGAAGCGACAGGTCGTACTCCGGTATCTCCATATCGCGTTCCACGTCGCGAGCATCAATAATAATTCGTGATTGGCTATTATTAATCAAACGCGCAAGAAACGCAAGATGAGATACGAGCGTGAGGGGGAGGAGGGGAGAGCGCGCGGTTTCCGGATACGCGAGCGGACCGTGACGGCGCATAATTGCAAAACGTTAATCGGTTAATTAATAAGTAAATATCTACGGGCGCAACGGCCGTTAATAATTGGCGAGGGACGCCGATGAGCCTCGTAAACGGTACACGGATGATTAATAATAATGCAATCTCGCGCTCACTGGTATATATAGTGTATATATTGTACACATGTATATATACATATCTGCGCTTAATGGCTGCTGATGCTGGCACGCAATTTGACGAGGGTATTCGGCGCCGGCTGTATGTCAGAGGAATTGTATTCCGTTTTTATAGGAATCTCTTTTATATACTTTTCCCCGTCTGGATTATTCGCGTATCGAGAATTCTGCCTCAACGATGTAAAAAGAGGACGCAATCAATTTTCTCGAATTATTTATTATTATTTTATTAAAAAATTTATTTACGCAATATTGTGCTTGCAGTATTATAATTTGTTAAGTTTTTAATTGCAATATTATAATTTGTTAGTTTTATTGAACATATTAAAGTAAAAAGAGAGAGAAAAGATTTTTAGAATCCATTAAAACTTTATCTTAACATTTATTATCTCTAACTTTTCCAATAGTTTAAAAATAAATAATTAAAAAAGTAGATTAGGTTAGGTTTTTTCATAGTTTCAGGATTCTTTATAGCATTTGCCTATCGCAGAATTCTATCAACCGGTCATGATTAATAACAACAGAACCTTTGCCTTTTATCTATTTACCTTCTGACCGTTAAGGATACATCTATCCAGCAATTTCGCTGACAACGTTGAGAGACAAGCGGAGCAGAAGTGCAGTCTGTATAAACCCATCAAGATAATCTTCTTGCGAGCAATGTACCGTATCTCTCGAGGGCAACTCGAGCGAACGAAGCTCTATCGTCCTTCGAAGGGACCATTTCACGACTGTACGACGACGCGCCCCGGTAATCTCGAGACTATACCGGAAGTGCGAGAACCATCCCAGAATGCGAGAACGATCTCTCGTTCGTCCGCGTTTCCGGGCGGTCCCGGGGGTGGCTGCGACATTCCCGGTATCGAGGTCCGGTTTCGGAAAACGCGCACCAGATGGCGGTATCTCTCGGAGCGAAAGACCATAATGGCCGCCGTAGCCATTAGACTCCGCCTCTGGCGAACGCGAAGCACCGCCCAAACGGTTGCCCAGGCAACCGCGAGGTCGGCCATCTTGCCGCCACGATCTACCACAACCTTCTCCTACGACCATGAACGAACGGACTCCCACCACTCGCACCGGTTACCCTCTCTCTAAGCGTCATTCTCCTCCCCATCGACCTCTTTCATATATCTCTCCCACTCCCAAAACAACTTCCAGCGTGGTGCCAGACTCGTGCCTGTTCCACACGGAGATTAGAAACTGGGCGGCTTCGGTTCTTAATCATCACTGGACCGCAATAATTATTGCCGCATTAACAAAATGATAACAACGGACAAAAAACGCGACAGCGTGTGTATATCAAGAGTCTGCAAACAAAATTCAGAACTAGACTAACTAAATAAAATATAAATCATTCTTTTTAATTTTACAGCCAGATAGACAGCTTCCTAGTTTTTTTTTTGTTAAACTTGTTTGCGTTTATCGAAATTTAAATTTTACGAGCGTGAGATAAAACACACATTTGAACGTTAAAACTCAGGATGTCTAAACATTGTCTACTGTGATACAATTGCGATCATTTAACACTCGACGTATATATAATCACGTGTATACTAAACGAGTAACGGTATTACTGCCAACATGTAAAAACAACGAGCACGCGATCGCTGGTGAAAACCGTTTATTATTGCTCGTTGAATCGAGCAGGAGAGAAAGAAGAAGAGAAAGAGAGAGAGAGAGAGGGGGGGGAGAGGAGAGAAAATTTTATTACATACTACTCTGCGATATGAAATCCTCTAAGAGCACACTCAGCAACAAGTATCGGTGAAACATATAGCGCGTAATTCTAAAAGAAAAGAAACAAACGTATACGTATAACAAGC